AATCTTCTCATTGATGTTTTAGGATTGCAATTGATCAGTCTCTTATTGGCATATGTTCATACTGTGAGTGCCGCGATATTGATTTAATTTACAAGAATTATAAACAAACATGGATAGTTGCTAGCAGCGGAATCTAGGACGCGCCTTTCGTTCTACTTGGGACTCGTCAGCTGAATGCGACTGCATCTCAGAGCTGATGTTCACTCTGGCACTCAAACCCAATATCGTATTCTTCAAACGCCATCTCGTTATCCACTTAGCTACTGAGTCCTGATAGCCATAGAATAAATGTGTTAATTTTGTTATGACTCATATAGAATATTAACTTGAATCTGCATAGATGTTAAGTAAAATTTAAGATCTATGGTCAGAATAAATAGAAGGCAGATAGGGTGAGTGAAACAATTGTACAATTATTAGTTTAGGGGTTGTGGAGATCGTTAAGTTTTCGACTGAGATCATGAACCGACTGATGTTAGACCACCAGTGAAAACTTGGAGGCACTGGACGAAACGGTCGTCAATCGGTTCATGATCTCAACCAAAAATAGTGCAATTATTATTCGATCAAATGTTTAATGGAAAATTATATTGAGTGAAAAATTAGTGGAACGTAATAAGAAACGATGAATTTTAAGTGAATGAACCACGATTAATAATGATGTTTAGCCAATAGTAATAACAATAATAGTAAAATAATAATAATACAAAAATTTGTGAATGAAGATGATAGAGACAATTACATTTGACTACGAAGTGTTGTAAGTACAATAGTCAAAATAGTTCATTTAAAAGCTAAGATTACTATTGATTAATTGGCCTTAAGGTTGAACAGCGGAGGGGGAGCGGTTGAAGATATTACTTTTGTACGTATAGCCCCAGTTTCTTCAGCCGTTTGAAGGACTTTAAGTCTGACAAGCTTTAGCAATAAATTACTGACACTATGAGTAATTGAAAAGGAATGTTTTATATTGGTACTATAGCCAATTTGTACTAAATGGGTCAATATCGAGCTATTCACACTGGGAAGTGTTTCGCGAGCACGAAAATGTAAATTAAGTTATTTTTATTAGTTTTCTCCACTGAAAAAAAGAAGATATCTATGACAACATATAAACGATGTGAGAAAATTTGTTCTTTTTTGTTTCGTTGAAATAACACACATTATATATGATTTTATTCAGTTGTTAGTGTTTGAGGAGAAATGTCAAATATTTTGTTAAGATGAATAATTATATGAATTTCAGTGGTTGAGATCGTGAGTCAATTGAAGCTAGATCACCATAGGAAACCTAGAAGCACTGGATGGCCTGTTCGTCCTAGAATGGGTCTCCTCAGCAGTGCGCATCCACAGTCCCGCACGCGGGATCCTAACTCAGGACTTATCAGTTTCGCGCGCGAACGCTTAACCACTAGACCACTGAGCTGGCCGGCATCCAACGGTGTTAATGTCTAACTTCAACTAATCCACGAATTTGAGCTAAACAACTATCTCATAACAGACTCGGTTGAACTCAATTAGTAACTGCTTCTCACTAGCGCTCCAGAATTGTATGGAACTGATGTTTAATTATGTATCATTGATAGAATGAATATTACTAGTGAGTATTTCAAAGGTAATAGTCATTATACTTATTAATAACCCGTTTTACAATTGATTGATCACTGGGTGGTGATCAATGTCGTGTATGTCAGGTTCTTCTTAGTGTAGATCGAATCCTATCAACCAAGTTGCAATGTGGCCACTAGTCTCGGTGACTCTAAATTGCGTGCACTATGTTGAAGCAAGATGTTGGTTGGAGGTAGTTAATAGGAAACCCTGGACCTAGGTTTTGTGCTACTTGGCACTTGTCAGCAAGGTAAACCTGAAATCTTGAGGGAACTGATGCTCCCTAACAGATTCGATCCTGTGTCACCCAGCCTCACAGTCAGATACGTTACCACTCAGCTACCCGGATCGCAACTGACCTCCTGTAGGACTGAGATGTATTTACAGTTGATTGATCACTAGGTAGTGATCAATGTCATGTAGGAATCATTGTTATTAACCAGACTTACAAGAAAATGTATGGCTTTTTTCATGTATTCAAAAGAATATTTAAATTGTAATATATAACTCAATATACTTATTTTTTCCGTTTTACATAGGTAATGCGTTTAAAAATCTAATTAAAACATCTAAATAATAAAAAAAGAATGCTTTGACTATAAAAAGACAAGTATTCACGTAAATTGGCATAGAAATGTCCTTGTTTTATCCTGAAGCAATCTGAAGAAATATTAAGCGAAATAAAACACCTCAGAGAGGAGGATGAGTTGAAATTCTGCCATCCTTAGTAGAATGAACTGCTGGATATTCAACCAACTTGGATCATCATTCCAAAGTCGTAATAACCTATTCAAGATAAAATCAAAAATAAATTATATCGGACGTCCATATTATGAATATAAGATAATGGAAAAAAACTACAGCTCAGAATAAAAATTTTGATGTTGCGTTTCATGAACTATATTGCTTGATCGTGAAATATTTATTATTCGTCTGGACGACTATATTATTTTGAGGTAAATGTTGTCGATATTGTCCAAAATAACAATATGAGCTTCATGGCTAAACCCTCCAACTCGTAGGACAAAGCACCTTCAACATTACAAACATAAATTTTCCCCATCCATTAATACATCTCACTCAGAATCATCCTCGATCTAACTGATATGACGTAGCTATGATTGGATTTATTAGTATAAGCTGAAAATTTTAATTGATATATTTATTGACTTATTTAACGAATAGTGAAGTTTTCGCATGTTAACCGACTTTATTGGTTATTACTGTCATTTTGTACTTCTGTAAACATGTCGAAACTACGATTGTTTAATTTCTACTGACATCAAAAGAACTTATTTGACAATAAGTTAAATTTCGCAATACAAAGAGACCGTCTTCTAACATTATTGGTGAACGACTAGGTTACATCCGACATGATTGAAATCAAATGGTTATAGGTTTTTCCTGAAACTCTGGGAACTGCTTTTCTAAATTAGTTATTATTGAGCTAATGATTATCACGAATATAGGACATTCATGAAGACTGATGATCCGTGTAATTTAGATCTTGGATTGATGTTCATTAGATAACTATCGGAAACCATACTAAAATAAACTATCTATTCAGAACTACCCGGATTACAATGGTTGCTCTAGATACATTTTTGGTGAAAACGATAAAAATCTCGCACATTACTATATAATGAAATGTATGAATTCAACATATTTCAGGTTATCTAATAAAACTAATATACGTACCCCTTGTTGACCAACTAAAGAAAGATTTTCAACTGCATATCATACGACATTTGTTATTTATCATATTAAGTTTTACATCTAGTCACTGTATAAAAAGTTGAAATTATTGTGAAAGAATCATATAAAATGTACTAATGTTTAGTTATATATAGGATAATTATCAAAGCATTCTGGAGAAGAAAACAGCGAAAAGCATGAGAACATAATAGTTTTGAAATCAAAGATTTGTGCCATGGTTTGTGTAATACTTAAAAACTATAAACTGAGTAAAGATCAGAAGTAACATTTACGAAATCGGAAATTATGATTACAGTTACGTGTACGTTAAAATACTTAATAAATTGTGATCCATTGATAAATTCTAACAAGGTGAGCTCAACAGGACTGGAAGGGGGGAATAAAATGAATTTATTATATTTCGCAGCACCTAAAGGTTGCAATAAGTAAAAGCAAAGTTTTACATATTTAAGACAATGACGTTAAGTTCAAAACCACAGTGAAACAGGAAGACGGAACATTTCAAAACTAGTGGTTAAGATTATTTAGTATTTATGTGTTGTAAATGGACTGATATCGGGAGGAATTGATGTCGAAAATAACAGTTATAAGCTAGGAAGAAAATGTTTTCAGATTAAGAATTTGCGAAGATTCTAGTAATTTTAACAATTGAATTCGTGAGTCAATGCAACACAGATCACCAATGAAAACTTGCAAGCACTAAACGGCTGTTTATTGTTAGTATGAAACTCATCAGCAGTGTACATCCATGATGTGTCATGTGGGACTCAAATTCAAAACCTTCAGTCTTGCGCGCGAACTCTTGACCTATAAACTCGTGCGTTGGCACACAACAATGTTAATGTCTAAAGAAGAAATGGAAACTGTAAGTACATTATGATCCATATTTATTTATCTATACTCAGTACATAGATCTATAGTACTACAATAGAATTTCAGAATGAACAATCTTTTCATGTACTACAAATGATTGTCTTAAGATTGAGCTATTGTTCATTAGGTTCAATTTTAAATCACATCACAAATCCTTTCTTTGATAATAATAATAATAATAATAATAATAATAATAATAATAATAATAATAATAATAATAATAATAAACATCAGACTAAATAAAACATGCTTTACCAGTAAATTCTCCATCTCATTTTAATTAACCAATCAAATTAAAGAAACATTGTTTCAATGAACCAATAAAAAAAAAGTATTCAAATAGTTCAAGTATTTTTATTATTTCCCCAAAAAAAACAATGGTGTTTAAATCCCTATATGTTTATATTACTAATTGAGATAACAGTAGTAATAATATAGAAAAATGTATATAAAGAATAATAATAATAATAATTGTACACCACAATACAAACTATACAATGCATAATAAATATATGAAAGAAATTAAAGAAATACATAATTAAATATAATTTTCCAATGTACAATAAGAAAGATAGTTTGTTCGTTTATTTTTCGTTTTGTTTTACAGTGTGATCAATGTACTTAATTACCTGAATGATAATGATGATAATGATGAAACTTTATTCAATGTATACCTACTTGTTAACATATACAATAAACAATATACATCTATATAACCATTATAGATTATAAAAGATATCTATCCATCCATCTATCATATTTCATTGTTGCGTAGATGTGTAAATATTTTAAAATAACTCTTATCATTTCATTATATTATTTCATTTATTTTACAGAACGAATGATACAACCATTTATATTTACTAATTTAATAATAAATAATATTAGTGATAATAATAATAAATTACAAAAAATCAATAATCAATCTATAATTATTAACTATAATAGATCACAATCAATATTTAATAATAATAATAATAATAATACTATACAGAATTTATTACATTCAACAGATTTATCTTTGGACGATTCTAGCCAAAATCAATATTATAACGATAACATTTTAGATGAAGGTAAGATTATTGTAAATAATAGTTATGTATGTAGTTGATCATAAAAACCCGATCTTGATCGTTGATTACGTAATCATTAGTTATATTTTATAATTTTATATATATATATATATATATATATATATATTTGTTGAATGAATAATCTGAAGTGTGATACATGCTTAGTTATATTTAAGAAAACGTCTAGTAAAGAATCACTTGGTGTTGTTTACTTGTATCTTCCGATTGTTATTGAGGACTGTGATTGATCAGTCTCTCTCTTGTTGGCATATGTACATCCTGTGCGGATTGCTTCGATATTACCTTAATTCAAAAGCTTTATAAGTAAAGATAGGTGGCGGCTAGCAGTGGAATCCAAGAAGCGCGTCTCGTCCTATTTGGGATACGATGGCGTTTGAAGCGAACTGTGCTGGGTTCCAGTTTCAGAGTGAACATCAACTCTGAGATGTAGGTACATTCAGATGATGAGGACGAGACGTGCGTCCTGAATTCCACTGATAGGCACTATCCATCTTTGTCTAGTAAATATGTTTAAACAATTTTCATACATATTTCTTACAAAGTAATAACGTTGAACACTTATGATTGTACAGATAGTAAATGTCTTGAATTCAGTAGGTTGTTCAAAGAAAAAAATAATATATCAATATTAACATCAGTTTAACAACCTAGTATACCACAAATCATAGTGTTTCGATAATTTATCTAGTTATTTAATTGAATAACATATGATATCTAGAATTTAAGACATGCTAAAATGCCATAAAACAGGCTTAAAACATGAACATGAACTAAACACATAAATAAATGGAGTGAGCATCGATAGTACAGAAGAAAACGTTGTTTATGAATATGGGATTTAATGGAGACTCGGCTGCTGAAACCTTAAATAAACCGGTTTCAAAGTCGTTGAATAAAACGTTCTATGCAGCTAAGCTCCTAATCGTTTTCTCAAGCCAATCTACGATTCTTGGATGTGTCAAGGATAAACTTACGCTTTGGGCCACATCAATGTGTATCTATAAATTTACTTGCTCATGTGAGGCACTTTACATAGGCCGCACAAAACGATTACTTTCTAAACGCATCTCAGAACAAATTCAATTATTTTTTCAGTTTGCAATCTCCTTTAGTGTTTAGTATATATTCCTCATATTATTGTGAACACATGTGTAAAAGTTACCTAAAATGACTTTTATTAATTTATAATTTTGTTTAGATTGATGTCACGGATGGGTCAATGCTGGATCATCGTTGAAAATTTGTAAGCACTGGACGGTTGTTTCGTTCTTGTATAGGACTTCTCAGCACTGGGCATTCACGGTCCCTGACGTGGGATTCGAACCCAGAATCTTTGGTCTCACGCGAGAACGCCTGACCTATAGACCACTGAGCTGGCATTTAACGGTGTTGATGTCTGACTACAACCAATCCACGATGTTGTGCAAACATCATCCGTTGACCGAAGTAGATACTTGTCTCTGCCTGACACATATTAGTTTTACTGGTCTCGGCCGTCCAGTGTTTGCATGTTTTTAATGGTGGTCTAACCTTGATCGATTCATGATCTCAATCAAAATTGCTTAAGTATGAGTGATCAGATGAAATAAAATGACGATCCTCAATTGAATATATTGTCGATTATAATCACTGCTACAATGGTTGCCATCGTAAATGAAAGTGTAGACTTGTGTTCTCGATTCTAGACTTTGTCTTATATATATGTATGAGCTTTTGAAATGTTAACTTCGTAACATCTACATACAATTCAGTCTATGAACTGAAAAGGTATGTCTTTCTTAAATAGTATAGAAATGTGCGATTATTTATTTGATTATCATTCATAAAAAATAAATTTAGGAAAACAACAATTGGTAATATTCGACAATTGGTTAAACCATCAGAAGATTCTAATTAATGTGAATTTCGTGGATTTATATAGATCAAAGTTATCAGATGGAATAGAAAAACTTTACCGTGCTTTCTATTTTCTTAATATTTCTCAAAGTTCTGTGTCTTTCATCATGTTATTGAGACAAAAATCTTCAACAATATTCATTACACTGTTTCATTTCATAGATCTACTGAAGAGTTAAAACTAGGAGGCTCTAGATAATTGTTTCTTTATAGTATGGAATTCTGTCACCAATGTATTTATGACCTTATCAATGTTCAAACCCATAATTTTCAAATCATATAAAGAGAGATATTACCTTCAATTCACTGTTTTGATTCTCAATTGTTTAAATTTTTAACTTTAGTAGATACAAGAACTACGTAATGAAATCCACACTGGGGATATTTAACTCATCTTTGATATAATTGAATTTTAGCCTATAAAACTACAATCTGTTCAAACCATTCTAAATATGGTATACTAACTCTTTGAAGTGCACATCTGAAATTATATTTGCCATTACTTATTTATATATCAAATCGAAATAAATGAATATCAGTGGAAATTAGATATAAAAATTAGATGGAATATTACTATGGAAACAGTTGAAATATTGATAAAATATTGATTATTGGTTTCTTGTGAAGTTTTGGTGTCTTGCATGTTATACACTTTAGTAATTAAAAATGTATACGGTCCTTTACCAAATTAACAGTTCGAAAATGATACATAGATTTTAAATGTTATATGTGTTCTAACTTATATTTTATAAAGAAAATACCGCAAATTAGTTACTTTATATTAAAATATCTTTATTACCATATAAAATGATGTCAATATTTCAGTAAACCATTTACAGTGAAGTAATACATTGCATCTAATAAAAAAATTATGATGAAATGTTTCAAATAAACATTCAATAGTTTAGTCAGTGATCTTCACTATTAATTAAAGTTAACTAATTACATATATTGGTTATTTGTTACTTAATTGCTTACTCTTGGTACTCTCAATGGAGCATAGTTCGCCGACCACCCTTCTCCAATTCACTCTATCCTGGGACTTCCTTTCAAGTTTGATCCGATTGTTGTCAATTCTTTTCAAATCTGTTTCCATTTCTCAGCTTAATGGGTTATTTGGTCTTCTTCTCCTCCTTCGGCCTTCAGGATTCCATGTGAGGTCTTGTCTTGTGACGCAGTTGGATGTTTTCCTCAGTGTGTGTCCTATCCACTTCTAGCGCTTCTTCCTGATTTCTTCTTCCACTGGAAGCTGATTTGTTCTCTCTCATAATAGGTTGTTACTGATAAAGTTTGGCCAACGGATCCAAAGTATTTTCTGTAGACAACTGTTAATAAACACCTGCATCTTCTGGATGATGGCTTTCGTAGTTGTCCAAGTTTCCACCCCATACAGTAGAACTGTCTTGACATTTTTATTGAAAATCCTGACCTTGGTGTTTGTTGTCAGTTGTTTTGAGTTCCAAATGTTCTTCAATTGTAAATATGCTACTCTTGCTTTTCCGACCTGCGCCTTCACATCTGCATCAGATCCATCCTGTTCATCAATGATCCTGCCCAAATATGTAAAGGTTTTAGCGTCTCCCAAAGCTTTTCCGTCAATTATGATTCGATTGGTGCATGGTGCATTCAATCAGAGAATGTCGCGTTTCCCTTAGTGTATATTGAGACCTACTACTGCTACACTGGTCATCTTACATATATTGGGATCTCTGTTTATAAAAGTCATAAATAGGACTGTTATTAAGCATCATACATTTATATCTATGATGTATTAACTTAAGAGTGATTGAATATATATACATATACCATGGATTTTCGAAATCGTGTTCTTAATAAAACTGCTAGACTATTTAGAGAATACAGTCTCGGAGCAATTCCAGCTTGCTACACAAACGAGTGTTAGTTTTTTTGAGATCCTATCGAATATAACAATGAAACTTTATATGGATTAGTTCCTTAAAATTTATTGACTTACTATAAAGATCATTTTTTATGTGTTTTTTTGTTTTATGATGAAACTCAGCAACATTGAGAGATTTACGTTGTTCTTATAAAGATGAATCTCTTATTGCTTGAGTAATTAAGATAAAACATGTTGGTTATAGACAGACTTAACTTTTAAAAAAATGCCTCAATGACATTTGTTCAAGTCATTAGAGAAGCATGTGAAAAAATATACTTTAAGCGACGTTTAGCTTACAAAAAATGAAGACAAGCTGTTCTGTTTATAAACCCTAACTACGTAATCTAAATTGATCTTCTCTACTATTCACTTTCGTTTTATAAGCGTCTATACAATGTACTTAAAAGATTCTGCACTGAATCACTTTTATTGACTTAAACTCATAACAAATTTCAGTAGTTGAGATCATGAACAATTGAAGCTAGACCACCATGTAAAACCTGGAAACACTGGACGGCCCTTTCGTCCTATTGTGGGACTTCTCAGCAGTGAGCATCCACGATCCTGCTTGTGAGATTCGAACACAGGACCTATCAGTCTCGCGCTCGAGCAGTGAAGTTCAACCGCGTCAGTTATGAGGTAATAAATCACCGATGACGATGGTGTGTGTGTCGCTCAATTTCGTGGATTAGTTGAAGTTATACATTAACACCGTTGGATGACAGTCAGCTCAGTGAACTAGTGGTTAGACGTTCGCGCGCAAGACTGATAGGTCCTGGGTTCGGATCCCGCGTGCGGGATCGTGGATGCGCACTGCTGAGAAAACCCATTATAGGATGAAACGGCCGTCCAGTGCTTCCAGGTTTCCCATAGTGGTCTAGCTTCAAATGAATCATGATCTCAACTATTGAAATTACTACAATATCCACAAAACTCCTTCTGACCATAACAAATTATACAAGATATGGAAATCATTCTATGTAGAGTTATATGTACATTGAAATGAATGAATACATTTTTTTAGCATCATTAAATATAAAAACTCAATGAATTGATGCATTCACCGAATATCACAAGTTTACGTTTGATCCCCGACATATAAGTGAGTATTCAGTAATGATGAATCTTATTCTAACACGAAATGTTTGTGTAGTGTTCTCTATTTACTAACCTTAATCAT